AGCAGGATTGGCAGCCAATCCTGGCCTGAGGTACTTTGTCATGAGTGTTTAAGGTCACTTAAAGAACCACCAGCAAAGGTGTCAGCAAAAACAGCTTTAATATGTCTTCAAAGCCAGGTTGGATCAAGCCATGAGCAACCTGCTCTGGTGGGAGGTGTCCCTGCCCAGGGGGTTGGCACTGGGTGATCTCTAAGCTCTATTCCAACCCCTTAACATATTTGATACTGTACTATACTAAAAGAGCCTTGGAGTGTTGGCATATGGAGGAGCAGAAGGAGGATGAGGAGGTTCCTGGAGGCCAGGGAAGAGCTGCCTGCCTGGGGGAAGGACTAGGTTCTGCCTTGGCTTTGCATCTTCCCAGACCCATGTGGGTGTTGATAGATATTTCAGTGCTCCTATTTCCATCCCACATCCTCAGGAAATCTGGCTCCTCCATCCTTTGCACCCCCAGGTGTCACTTGGCAGTGGCTGAGAAGGAGGATTGATTTTTGGAAGGCTTTGTCCAAGCCAGAGCCAGGTGTGGGTGAGATTCCCCCATGGGGATGCAGCTGGGGAGGATCTCTGCTTTCCCCATCACCCATTATCAGTTGGTATCTGCTGTCCTCCTCAGACAGCCCCTTGGCTCATCCCTTCCCATGGTGTCACTTCCATGTTCATGACCTTCAGCAAAGTGGAGCAGAGTTAAGACCCAGTGTGAGCCCCAGATAGGTGATGTTTGGATTTCCAGGTACTACACTGGTCTGAGATCTTGTCCATCCAGGTGTTGGGAAAGGACCTCAAGCAGGGTTGGTGCAGATCCCCACAGCAGCTGATGGTGGGGAAAAGCCTCTTCCCAGCTTGGACCAGTGTTACTGGAGCTCATGGGGGAGCACAGGGGAAACCCTCTTCAACTCAATCTCTGTGCCAAGACTCCTCCAGACAGCCCTGAACATCTGAGCCTGGACAACCTGGGGACACCTCTGGCTAAATCCCTAAAGCTGGATGCCCAACCAGGTCTGACCATGTTCTTCCCTGCTTTACCTCCCCAGATGTGAGCAGGCAGGTGTGCCTCAGTTTCCCTGGATGTCACATGGGGGCAGTGCCTATGTCCTGCTGGACAGGAGACTGAGGAAAGACCTCACCTGTGCCCCCTTGGAGCTGAGGCAGGAGGTCATAGCACAGAGATGCTGTGGGTGAAACCCATCAGGGTGTGTTGTCTGCTGGAGCTCTGTGCTATGAGGGGAAGATGCTGAAGGACCTGGGCTGCTGTTTGGTGCTGGTTTGGGTTTACTTTTCATGCTTCAGTTGAATTTGAGTCCTGAGGCCCCAGGGTGGGTCAGCTGGAAGCCTTGGCCACCTCAACATGGGCTTGCTGGGGCTGAAATTGGCTGTGATACCTCCTCTGGGTGCCCAGCAGGGTAGAGAGGAGGTGTCTCCAGATGGTTGGTGGGTCCATCTGCTGACCCTTCAACCTTCTGCTTGTCCCCTCTTAGTGTCCCACCTGGAGTGCTCCCCATGGCCATGCCCTGGCTGGGGCTGGTGGGAGTTGCTTTGCTGCTCTTGGCAAAAGTCTCCTGGGGAACAAGGACCAAATTTCCTTCTACCACCTACTCCTGGGGGATGCAGGAGGAGACCAAGAGGTGGAGCTTCCTTGTGGGGCTGGGGTGGGAGGTGAAGAGGAAGGCAGAAATAGTCCAAGGTGAAGGGTGGAAGCTTGGAGAGCTGGGGTTCAGGGGAGGGTGGGAAGGAGTGGGATGAACATGGATGGTCTGTGGGAGAGGAACTGAAGCTGAATCAGCTGAGAAACTGGTACAGAGGTCTACCATAAGAGGGAAAGTGGTGGAAAGGTGGGCAGGGGTAGATTGGGCAATGTGGTCAGATCCCATGGGGTGTGTTTGGAGCACCTGAAGCTCTTGGGGTCCAAACTCACCTGATGCCTTGGCTAGGCCAAATGGATGACTTGGGGACACTCAAGAAGGGTCATGTGGAGGGGGAGGTTGATACTGTCCCAGCTGTAACTGCTGAAGGTGCTGGTGGGGAAAGGGGAGATGAAAGACAACCTTAAACCCCAGAGAGCCCTCAGGAAGAGAAACTGGGAGATCCCTCCTGAGGTCTCCTGACCAGTCTTGCTTTTTTTTCCCTTCCCAGTGCATTGGTGGTTGAGTGTGGGGACTTGGGAGGGTGTGAGGTCTAGACCATGGTGAGGACAGGGCCATGAGCTGGAGGGAGGTTTAGGAGACCCTACTGGCCCAGACAGACCCACCAGAGCACCTGGTGCAGGCGAAGGGACAACAAAGCATTGGAAACTCAAGAGATTGTAGCTTTAATCAGGAACCTTCCCAGATGACGTGTCCCCTTGCCCTGCTGTGGATATGAACCTCTTCCCTGTGCATGGAAATGTCCAGGAGGAGTGACAGAGGAGTTCAGGGAGGAGAGAAGAAGGAAGAAGAAGAGATATGAAAGTTAGGTAGCTCTATGGGTCAAAAATATACAACACTGTGCTGATCCATGGCCATCAGTCCCCTCTGGCTGCCAGGCTGGGACCAGCTGGTGGCCCCACACAGACCTCCTGACCAGGAGGTCACTTCCTCCTCCCAATTTGGGCCATGAGGTGGGCATTGGCAGCAGCCTTTGCCCTCAAGTTCTTGGCTTTGGCAATGTTGAAGAGGATGTTCATGATGTTGGTGGGGACATCAAGGGAGAGAGTGACCTTGGTGCGGCGATCGCTCTTGGCTCGGTTCTGGTAGGTCTTCCCCTTCACCTGAGCTTGGGAGATGTATTTGTAATGGCCTTCCCCTGGGAATGTCCTTTTCCCCATCTCTTCCTCCAGAATCTCATCCCCTTCCTGCTCCTCAGACAGCTCCTCCGGCAATGGGGAGTCGAGGCCACGCTTGGCCACGATGGAGTTATCCTCTGGGAGGTTCTTCTGGGCTTCTCTGAGGGCTGCGTTGAGGCAGCTGAAGATGGAGGCAGCATTGGAGAAGCTGAGGGCATGACTGGTCTTGGCAGCACAGAGGAGGACAAGGAGGAGCAGCAACCTGCTGTGGGACATTGTGGTGGCCTGTTTGGGGGAGAGTGAGGGGAGGGCAGAGATGGGCATGAGCATCCCACATGACCTGGGGCAGAGAACCACCCTCACACATTCCATTCCTCTCCTCCCAGGTCCCTCCCCAGGTCCTGCACTATTGGGTTCCCCTCTCAGGTCCCATCTAGGTCCCATTTAATGGTTAGGACAGGTGGGAAGAAGTTGTCTTTTCCCAGCCCTTTGTTTAGGGGTGCTGTGGGGGAGGTGGGATGTCCAAGATGCTTTGTAGCCTCCATGGAGAGGAGGATTTGGCCATGCCTTTGTTGAAACACAAGTTCCTGCTGCAGCAGAGCTGGTTTCTACCATGGCTACCTCCTTGCCTGGGACAATCTTGTTGTAGTCCCCATGGAGCTCTCTCCACCTCCTTGGGGTAACCATGCACCCAGCTGCTGTAAAGGTGGGTTTTCCTGTCAGCTCCTCCCTGGTCAGCCTGAAGCCACCAGAGATGTTTCTGTGCTCTTTCAAGGCAGCAATTGTCCCTCCACCTGCTCACCCACCTCAGTCCAAAAAGGACATGGAGAGTGGGGTACAGTGCTGGAGGTGTGAGCTGAACCATCCAGTGTGATGGCCCCATGTCCTCACTCCAGCCCTGGCTTTGGGTGCTCTGGGGTTGCTCCATACCCTGTGCTCCATCCTCAGGACCCTCCTCCACCTTGGATGCCCCATCTGATGGCACATCTAGGGCAGAGTCTCCTTCCATGTCCAGCCCTGTTTGGGGACCCCCAAATTCCCAGTAGAGCAGCAGCACTTCCTACTTGAAATATGGACATTTTTTATATCTTGAGGAGGACTGGAAACCTCTGGATTATCCTCCTGCTCTGGAAAACCTCCCCCATTTCCATGTCCTGTCTCTGGGAAGTGTCCCATCTCTCTGTGTCCCCACCAAAAACGGCACAAGGGATCTCCTAGTGGGACTCTGCTCATGCAAAGACGACCAAGTGTCCCCAGAGCATCCCGAAGGCACGGAGGCTCTCCAAGCTCCTGGAAGAACTCTGGAATTCCCAATCTTCGGGCCCCATCTTGTGGCAAGCACATCGCACAGCAGGTCCTGGCTGGGGACAGTCCCCAGGGCTGAGGGACCTCGCCTGGGATTGGGATTTCGTCCTCGTGTTGGGTTGTGAGCTAATTTCTTTCCCATGGGGATGGTAGTGTGGAGAGGCCAAGAAGAAGCCCCTGGGAAGCTCTTGTGGTTCATATGAGTCTCTGGGGGTGTCTGTCTTGGGGTCAGCACTGGAGATGGAGACCTGAGGGGCTACTGGGTGGGGGAGATGTCCTCACACCCACCCAAAATCGAACCAGCACCCACGTCCCCAGGAGCTGCCAGCCTGGATTTGCTCTTCTGCCACTGAGTCCCTGAAACTCTTAGCATCTTAACTCTGCCTTTCACTGTCCATGGAAGGGAAGATTTGGGCAGCTTTATCCTCTTCACTCTGCCCTTTGCCATCCCCTGGATGGTGGCATCAAGGCAGGTTTATCCCCTTAGCTCTGCCCTTTGCTGAGAGGGAGATTTGGGCAGTTTTGTCCCCTTAAACTTGCCCTTTGCCAGGTCTTGCAGGGTACCATCAAGGCTGAAGTTGGTGGCTTGTCCCTGTGGTTGTTTAGGCTTTTCCCCCTTAGCAAAACTCTTGGGGAATCTCAGCTAAGGGAGGGGAAAAGCAGATCAAGGGGAAAACGCTGCTGAAACCATCCCCACCCAGTGCTTTGCAGTTTTTTTCATTGTGGATATCCTAACCAAAAAAAAAAACCAAAAAAACAAAAAAAAACCCCAAAAAAAAAAAAAAAAAAAAAAAAAAAAAAAAAAAAAAAAAAAAATAACCCCTCCCAAAACAAAACCAAAAAAAACCCCAAAATCCAGGTCAATCCAGAAAATTTGGGGATTTGGTTTATTTTTGCGTGGGGATTTGTGCCCCAGGATGCCAGAAAGTTTCTCTGGAGCAGCAAAAACCTGCGATTGGCTTTCTTCCTCCCAGTTAAAATGAGCAGGAAAAGAAGCCAAACCTGCTGCGGTGGATCCGAGCGTGTCGGGGGTAAAGCCGCCGCTGCCGGAGGTGACCTGCGGGTGCTGTTCCTGCCGCTGGGAATTGTCGGGATGCCCGGGAGCCTTTTCCAGGCTTTTAGCCAGGTGATGCCGACACGGCAGGACCGTTCGGATCGGCTGGAAATCAGCTCTAAAGGAGGGAAATCAACCTCTCAGCTCAGCAAACTGGGGACAAAGCCACGCCTGGTTCTCACGCTGGGCAGCATCAGTTCCTCGGCAGCAAAGCCTCTGGATTAAGCTATTTTTCCCTCACCAAGAAGTAAGTCTGGAATGAAATAACGCTGTGGATGAGACCTGTAGACTTTTTAAACTCTGTCTGCTGCCACCTCTGCTTTCCTAGTGAGCCTCTCCTGATGCTGCTATTCCCAAGGCTCCAAATTCCAGGCTGCCTCACTGGGAAAGGCTATGCCCTCTTCTCCTCCCTGTCCCTTTAGTGCCAGCAGTGATTTGTCTCCCTCCTTTTCCATTCCCCAACATTTCCCAACCCTTCCCACTCTGCCTAGCCTGCTCTGCCTCCAAAAATCGCCCTAATCATGAAAACTAGGAGATCTCTTTGCTTAGGAGGGAAGTGAGAGGAGACTTTTAGTGCCTTGATCTTACAATATCTGGATCTCACAATACCTTGAGCTGCTTTTCCCTGTCATTGCAGGTGGTTTTCTCTCAGAGAAATTTGGATCCCCCAAGGAAAGCCCTGAAATATTTAAGGTCTGTGCAAATGAAGCTGCTGCTGGTTAAGAAATGAAACCCAAGCACTCACCTCAGTGGGGATCAGGATGGGAAGGACTCGCCGTGGTCTCACTCCGAGGAGAGAAGCATCAGGTGCTTTTCCCTCAACTTCTGCACCTTTTCCTGCTTTTCTTGGATTGTTCTTGAGGGCTGTGCTAGTTTTGCTCTCTCTGGAAAGCCTTTTCCCCTCCCTGGTGTATATAGCAAAATGAGTGATCACGGGGTTGGAGTCGTAACTCCAGACGTGGAGCCTTTGGTGGGGCATGATTTCATTCAAATGAAATCAGAGGCAGCTGCAACGTCACTCAGCCTCTCCCCATGCACAGGGGGAAAGGGAGGAGGGGGGGAAAGACGTCTGAACCCACAGGCTGGGGAGAGTCACCCAAAAACGGGGCTGTCGTCACCGCCAGGCGCGCGGGATCACGCACACACAACGTCTCCCCCTTGCCCTCAGCTCTTCCTGCACTTGCTGCAAGGATATTGGAAATGCCAAGGCTTTTCTGGCCCCTAAGGATGCCTCTTGGGTTTGTAGGATGACGGTGTGATCCTAATTAGCGTGGGTTTATCATAGGATGTTCTGGGTTGGAATGGAGATTACAGAACACCCAGCCCCAACCCCCTGCCCTGGCAGGGACACCTCCCACCAGAGCAGGTTGCTCAAGGCTTCAGCCAACCTGAATTTGGACACTGCCAGGATTGAGGCACCCACAACCTCCTTGAGGCTATCACAATCTTCCTGGAGTATTCACAGCCTCCCTGGGCAACCTGTGCCAGTGTCTCACCACCCTCACAGGGAAAACTTCTGCCTGAGATCTAGTCTCAATCTCCCTCCTTCCATTTCTCCCCATTGCTCCTTGTCCTACCCCTGCAGCTCTTACCCAAGAGTCCCTCTGCAGCTTCCCTGGAGCCCCTTCAGCTCCTGGAATCTTTTGTTCAAAGAGTGAGGCTGGTACAGCATCTTGGTAGGGTTTAGCCCCAGGCTGGTGCTCATCAGCTCCAACCACATCAGGGACACAGCTGTAGGAACCACTGGAAACATCTCTGGTGGCATTTTGGCCTCAGTTGTCACCTGCTCAGATATCAGCCAAGGAATATCAAAGATGTGGAGAGGTTATTGCTTCTGGCTTGGGGTGTGGGTGGGTCTGGCATCCTCCAGCCTCAAAGGTTGGCCAAAACTGGTCCCCAGTGCCTGGTGCACCTTCTGATGCAAAGACCTGGTGTCCCTAGTCACCTCCAGGAGCATCAGGAGGTGCCAAAATCCCTGGGAAACCTGTGATTGAGGTACCTGAGGAAGAGAACAGAGGCTAGGAAAAGGTGTGAAGGCTAAGTGGACTATTTAAGTCATCCCAAAGGTGATGGAGTCTTTCAGTGCACATCCAAAGTGAGTTCAGCTGTAGAAAGACTAAAGGTTGGAGTGATGAAAGATCTGTTTAGCTTCATCCACAAAGGTGTTGGCTGCTCCACCTTTGCAACCATCCCATCCCTTGTGGGGGGTGGTGATCCTCTCCTGGGAGCTGTCCTGGCATTGGCAGTGTGTGAGACAGAGGAATAAGGTGTGACATTTAGTTCTCACCCCTTGCAGCTCCTTCAGGGTGTCCCCAAGTGTTGTACATGCTCTGGATGGCTGGAAATGGGGTTTTCAGCCCTTCCCAGGTGTTGTCTGCAGTGAGATGACTTGGGGCTGTTGGGAAAGGGTTGAGCTACATGCTGAGAGGTCCTGTAGGTCTTCCAGGGGATGCTTTTCATGGCCAGCTTCAGTGGCTCTTGCAGGGTGACAGGTTACCACCTCCACTATGGGTCTATCTACATCCCCTTGGGGTTGGAGCTCACCCCACCTGACCAGACTGGGTGGCAGTGACTCCCAAAGGTGTCAGGGGCCCAGGAGAGACTGAAGGAAAGGCAGGGATGGGCAGTGAAACTCCTTTCAATCTCCTGAGCAGACACTGGGGTATATTCCTGTGGTTTATTTCCCCACAGAACATTTTGCTGTTGGGGAGAGTCAGTGCAGGACAATGTCCTTGCAGGAGGCAAATCCACAGAGAGATATGGAGTCTTCAGGGTGGTTTTCTTACAGGAAAACAGGAAAGAGGAGTAATGCCTAGGAAAGATGAAGGAATTCAAGATGACTGGTTTGGCTGGTAGGTCCCTGCTTCAATCTTGGCTTTGCAAGGGCTCAGAGAGGAGATTTTGCTGCCAACCTGAA